TTATTCGCTTGTTCGTTTTGCCCAGGGCAACTTGTTGCGGTCTTACTGACCCACGAAGTAAATTGCATCTCATTTTACAGGGTGACTGAATTTCCATCTATTTCGTTTATACTGGACTCTTCCAGTTTGATGCCTGTTGGTTTAGCGTTCGAAATGCGGAAAACCTTATGTAGTTGGCTAACGAAACTACGGAAATTAGACTGCCTGAGAACCGCAGCAGAACAACGTAGCATTTTTTAATCTGGTAGAATGAATTAACAATTTATGCAACGAATAATCAAGAATTTAATTTACTAATCAACACGAATATTATTTCAGTTCACTTTCGATGATCGCGTCCCCTTTCAACGTTATGCGAATATTAAAACTACAATAAATGGAAACAAATGATCTCTTCCGCTTTTAATTGCAACTTGAACCGGTTTCAACGGTGCCATCATCAAAGGTTACGATCCAAATGCAGACCACGCATAAATAATAAATTACAAACAGACAGTCGCATCATTTTCTGAAAAACTTTAAATTTAAACAAAAACATGGTTCAGAAATAAAAATAATGCAAGTTGTCATTTGAGGATAATCGCATAATGTTTCTGCTTCTTTCACAGGCATTTTATTCGAACTCTCTGATACTGTAACAGTGGCGTAACTGAAGTTTTGGTTCATAATGTTGTGAAAGAAACTTTTAGCCATTTAAAATGGTTAAGTCGTTAGATTCAATTTTCAGTTGTATATATAGCCGCTGCACGGTGCGCTGCTCTCCTCATTCATCAATCTCAACAAAGGACATCGGTAATGAACTAGAGCTGAACATAGGGACCTGCCCTTCGCATCAACATTTCGGAAGTCGCTACTCTGGCTTCAGATATAATCGTTACACTAGATGAACAATGACAATTACATCCGGAGATCGTATAACTCATGTTTCTCAAGATGCCTACACTATTTAATCCGTGACCGATGCAGGACGCCTCCCTATTTAATTGTTTATTCAGCCACATTTCAAATCTTGAGGCGATGGAACAATGAAGAAGGGCACTGTTGTTTGGTAAAAGCATTACTTCACAGGCCTGCGCATATATACTCAAGGGAAAGTGTGAACCGCATCTTCCATCACAAGATGGCAGAAACTTTTTCTGCTGTGCCAATGTACCATGTTTCATCGGTGTTTACTTTGTGTGAATTGCGTGAACCAACAGACAAAAAATACTCCATCCAAGAAAGCCTTCGTCTTTAGATATCAATCCTTTCAGCAGGTCAACAGCAGGGCAACGCGCCTAAAGTTACACATCAATAGTACGCTAAAATATTATTCCAGATTAAGTTATCTACAACGCAAGAGGATCAGTAGCATTTCATCAG